CTTTCACTCTAATGAGTGGAAAATTATTTTTACAATATAATCAACCAAGTAAATATTTACAATCGAAGATCACAAAGCACATTCACATAAGCCACATTTTTGCAAGATAAACTAAACGGTATATAGATAAAGAGGGTCGTACAGGGGGGGTCTCTCGCACGGTTCACGAACAGAAAAAACAGCGAATCACGGATCACGGCTATCAAAATTTCATTTTCCCGAATCACGAAAATAAACAAGTAAGGTACTCGTTTTAATAACCTTCTCTTACGGTAGAAAGAGTGTTTGAAGAAAGAAAAATCGTTAAAGGCTAAGTAAAGGCTGCTTATCGGAAATCACATACCTAAATCACTCTCGATGGACGACTCTGACCATTCGTCCACTTCGCGTTGTAACTGCCCGAAGAAACAACAAATCGTCGAAAGAATCTACCTCGTAATTGTCAGCAATAGGATATTCAGCGTCTGAGTCAGTGTCATACTCTTCCTCCTCTTCTACCTCGGCTTCCTCTACTACTTGAACATCTTCAATGGCCTCGTGCGATGTAGAAGGCGTAACAGTCGTAACGGTCGTAGCAGAAGTAACAGTCTCCTCTTCGACAGTGTTAGGGCTGAATGAGACTTTATCTTTAGGATAGTCTGATGTTCTGTACATGTTTAACGGCAATGTTCCGGCCTTGAACATGGTGGTCTCTTGTCTCACACTTCTCTGTCGTGCAGCCCTCCCATTATTTGTCGCCCACTCAATCATGAGGTCTTTTTCCTGCCTATTTAACTCCCTTCTTGCCTTAAGATGCTCCAGCTTCGGAATGGCATTTAGTGGAGTGCTCTGGCGCAACACGGGATAATATGATTTATCATGTGTGAAGTAGTAGGCACTCCAGGGTACTACACGCTTAATGCTTTCGTATACGGTATTTGCCAGATTCCGTGCGTACTGCAAAAGGGTAGGAAACTGGTCCTTGAAATGACCAACTGCGTGTAGGTTTTCAACCTGAACTGTTAGACAAGAGTACAGATCAATGGCGAAGCTTGGGTTATGTTCTTTAACTAACGCCTCCAGATCTTTCAGTCCATTTAATATCATGTTAACCGAACGCTTTGTCTGATTAGAAATAGTTCCTTGAAAACCCCTTGGTTTACCTGTGCTGGCATCGTTTACATCGTTGCTATGCGACAACGCTTTTTCCGTTGTTGTTTCCAAGTAACTGTCAAGTCCTTCCAGAAGCTCGATTGCTTATGGTAGGGAACGTTTTGGTACAGTCTGAAGTTTCATATGAACAGAAAAGGCTTTATACAGGAGACCAAGATGGCCTAAATACTTTACAATGCCTTTTATTGAGGTAATTAAAGTCGCCGGGAAAATTGAAACGTTTCACGAAAAGTTTCAAGTGACTTGAAAACCATCCTTACAACCGACATAGCGAACTTACGGTTTCTTGAGCTTTGAAGAAAGCGGAGCATGTCAATCAAGCTTAATTAATTGCGTGAAGTTAAACTTGAAGTAAAATAGCATCGCCCGTGTTTGAAGCTGTATTTTACCTGAAGTATTTAAAATTTACTTGTCTTGAAATATTTCTAAGTTAACTTTGTGCTACCATCGTCATCCTGACATAGTCGCCGTATTCTCTTGTTCTTCTTTTAACCTTGATTACTTATTAACCTATAGAAAAGTCGGCCCGTATCTTTCAGAACGGTCCTTGATGTCGTTTAATAAGAAGTAAATAAATTCCTACCTTGTAATGAAGATGTATTTCCTGATAGTAGCGGCCTCTCCTTGTCCCATTGCTCTTGTGTATTTATCGCAAAGGCCTTACTGCCATCTTTTCCCTTTTCGAGACGACAAAATTTAAGTTCAACACAGGAGCCGAGGCCACGTTTCTCAGCCTCTGCCTTTAATCCGGCAAATTCCGCGAACTTTTTAGTAAACACTGCCAAAGATGAATGTTCATCTGTAATTGGAAAGCGAACTCGTTCCTTTCCAAGAAAATTAAGCGAGCCGACAGACTTTGGGTCAACGTAAAATTCAATACATTCGACCCTCATCGTACTATACGTACTCGTCCCCTCCATGTCTCGGATGTTTCGATGTTTTGGATCACTGTCCTTTGATCTCCAGTGGCATAGGAGACCATAGGCATAGGAATAGACATCTGATCCATGATAGGCATGTAAAGCACGTGAATTTGCACAATGGATTACTTTAATTAAAGCGAAGTCTCTTACTTGTCACATTTGATGTTTTCAGTCTTAAAATAAGTCTTCCAGAGCACTCGCATCTCAAAATCACGCCAAATAGAGTGGTGAAATCACGAATATCGGTTAATAATTCAAGTTCTTCACGGGTCACGCAAAACCTTCAGATCACGGATCACGAAGAATAATTTATTAAATTCACGTTTCACGGAAAATAAAATCAGCCAATCACGCATCACGGGAATACCCCTGTACGACCCTCGATAAACATAATTACCTTAGACAAGTTACATAAAGGTCAGCCAGTATTAATGAGTAGAAGGACCTAAAAAATAAGGACAGTTATCTTCTGTCAATTGAGCATGATTGCACCTGTTCCTTAAAACGATTTCGTTCCCAATTCGTAGTACAAAGGTGCGGTCTGTAAGACAAAGTTCCGAATATTGTTCCGTTGGCTGATTTTCCTCATACCTGACTGACGCGTACTAATAGCTCGAACTTTGATCAAAACAGGAACACACTAGAATTTAGGAAATCATAAGACGACGCTAAACTTTTAGGTAATCGCACTATAATCACAGAAATCTTCTCGCCAGTGGACGTTTTCGTCATTTTTGCTTCGTGCAGCTTTCTCTCGGTAAGTGCATAATTATATGAAGTTTATCAAAAGATACGTAACCAGTACTTGTTATACTGTGATGCATGTTTACTGTCGTATTTTGATGATTTCGAAAGTTTTAAACTTACGACTTACACTAGACTTTGTTTTACGGATTATTTTAAAACCGTATTTAATATCCAATTGAGCTACTTAACCCTTCGCCTGCTGTTTTATTCCGGCGTGTTGTGATTGGTCACTCTTTGCAGGCCGTATCCTGATTTATGGTTAGGTATGAGCAAAAAGACAATTAACTTTACTTGACGAATGAACTCGCCTGCTTCAAAAAATGGATTTCGCTCTCTTATGCTAAGTACACAAATAAGAAAGTACTGAATCGTCTCCCTTTTCTCTGATTTTCCTCATGCCTCGACTGACGTGTACAGAACTGAATAGATTAGCTCAAATTTTGATCAAAACAGGAACATAATAGTATCATTAACTGGCTGCAGAAAATTTTGGGGTTATCATTAAAACTTGCTTCTGAACTGGACGATTTCGTCATTTTTCCTTCGTTCAAATCTTTAAAGATTGGACGGTGCTGGCTCTTTTGTTCTCTAGGAAAGCGCATATAAATCATCATCAAGATCAACGTAACCAACTCTCTTAAGTTTATACTCATTATCCCTTTCTTTGAATAATTAGCATTAAGTTATAGCTAGTTATGCGACGAGATCCCTGTCTCGGTTGCCCAGAGGTCCCCTAGTCCGAACTCACCTTTACTAGGTCCAGTTATCAACCCGTTTTTACATCCAACTAAACATCCCCAATCCTAAATCATTCTTCCCCCTAAACTGGTCCCAACCCCCACTAGCGTAACAACTATCTCAGACACAAAAGAAACATATTAAGAATCTCCACCGCTGCAAACACATTGAACGTATCCCGAAACGTCACTTTACCCAAAAGGAGGATATTCGCCCAACAGAGCTTCTGGAAGACCGTCCCATAACACTGTTATTTGTGTTATTTAACAATTATTCGCCGAAGGCGAAGTTAATGATATTGTTGAATAATCCCCGAGACGAAGTCGAGGGGATTATTTAACAATATTAACTGGGCCTGAGGTGAATAATTGTTTTAGTATACACACACGAAGTGATCTCAACAGAATCAGAAAGGAACCATGAAAAAACGATTAGTTTGATTCACGGGTGAATTCATGCGTGAACATGTAGCCGCGTAAAACAGCAGATGCGCAACATTTGGATCTTTACTGTATTTTAAAACATGGCAAATCATAGTTTTAATTTTTTTGTAAGCTTAGTAGCACGTGCTTCGTAGCACGTCTCAGTAATAAATATCAAAGTTTTATAACGTTATTATAGATAGCAAAAAATGTAGGTAACAAAACTATGAACGCTTTGATTGTATTGGTCTGTTCACGAACTTAAATAACAGTTTCTTTTCCACTTTGTTTCACTAGAGTTCACATGTCATTTTTTTGAAATTCTTTAACTTTGTCCACAAAATGGTTGATTTGTTTAGTACCACAGTACTTCCTGTGGAAATTACAAGTTTAGTACTTCTTTGACAATGTTCCGTTGGGAGTTGTATTTCAATTTGACATCCTTTAGGCTCATAAGGGCATCTTCTATTTCATCTATGGTACTGCTCATACTTGCTGTTGTATTCTTCAGGAGGTTTTCGATTTCATTTGTAAATGCAGTGAGCCACAATTCCGATTCATTGTGTTGAATACACAGCTTGACAGAGCCTTCCCGCCTGCAGTTGATGATCCTTTGTCGCACTTTGTAGTTTTGGCATCTCACTGACTCGCCCGACTCATCCCCAATTCGTTTTTTGCAAAGTTGGCATGCACTAAAAACGCTTAAACTGACAACATATTTTAGCTTAGTTGTGGTTTCCTCACTGTAAGTTGTATTCCTGTTGGTGCTAAGGAATTTTGATCCTTGATAATACCGTAGTGTGAGGTTTTGAAAGTAATAGGCCTTGTTGCTTTTTAGTTGTGTAAATAACGGTTCCCATATGTGGAGTTCCATTGTGCCCGTTTCGTCGTCCAATATGCAGTCTTCTTTGACAGATAAAGCTTGACTGAATTTGGTTTCTCTCTTGTTTGGCTCCTGGGCTCCCATTGACAGAGTTGCATGGACGTTGACTTTCTGATTGGGCGACATTTCTTTCAGTTCTCGTAAAGAGACATCAGACGCTTCCTGTGATCTTGATTCGGAACGTTCTGACTTGAGAAAATTTGGTACATAGGAGAATGGTACATCAGCATTTGCACACTGCGAAACATAGGATTGCTGGTTGAAAAGCCAGTCGTTGCTTTCATCATCCGGTATAAGAAGGTTCTTTAACAAGACGGGAGACTTGGTTTCTTGGAAGTGCTTGATCTTGGGTTGTTCTGTTTTGTCAAATCCACAGGGAGCCCACACAATCTGTTTGTGTAGCCGATTGTTATTTTATAGTAAATGTACTGGATTTACCGTTTGCTTCACCTATAGCGATATATCGCTAACTATGTATATAAATCGATGATAAATAAACGTTGAATTACCTTACCTGTGGTATATAGTCGTCGTTTTACCTCAAAAGCGGTTTTTTGAGCGATTTTGAAGGAGTTTGACTTCGCCGTTGACTGTTAGGAACAGTCAACGGCGAAACGTGGTCAAATCCAACTACTCTTTGCACTTTAGTCGGTGAAACTTGCAGGTGAAAGTCAAACCAATCATGTCTGGACCTTGCAGCGGTTTTGACGGGGGATATGTTTTGGATGTACCCACATTTGTTTACTAAACGAAAGAAAAGCAAACAAATTCAGGATGCATGATCATCAATGCGCTTACAGTGACAGCAACAATAACCCTATTATCATCACTATAGTTAACACAATAACACATGCTATGCTATCTTAGCATAGTTTGCTTGAACATTTGTCAAGTGTCTTGAGCTAAAAAAGGTTTTCCATCTTTGCCCACACTTTTCCATCATTTCAAAGATATAAGCGCTTTCATAAGGAACATCAACTTGAATAAAATTTTACAACTTACCCCTAGATTGCTTTCTTGCTGACATCATGAACTCTAATTTTTTAAAGTAACAATAACGTGTTAGCAACTCAGTTTACAAATAAGCCCATCTTTCAGTTACACATGAAATAAGCACCACAGTGAGAATCACCTCAGAAAGTTATAATATTTTTATACAAGTGGAAACCTGATTTGCAGATTCATGTAAATTGATGTCTACAGACTCAGACTTTTGAAATATGGCAAAAAAACAGCCATCCGGATAACTATACAATACTTCTTGAAAGGATAAGAAACGCCTTACAGAAACACACAAATCATCAATATAGATCCAACCGCTCCCACTTTTTAAGGCAACAGGGTTACGTAGAATTTGAGGGGTTTTGCCCACATTGCGCGGCGTTATAATCTGCCGCGGAGTCAACCTCGCTTCTTAGCTCGGTTGCCTCGTTGGCAATAATGGTAATACGTCATCGCACGGGATAATCAATATTACATGACTGTGAATAGTATTCAGGAAATCATTATCTAAATCAGTAAATCTGGATGAATTTTTTATTATCACTAAAACCTGCTTGTTAGGACGATTTCGCCATTTTTGTTTCGAGCAGAATTATGCGCCAATCAATTCTTAACTTTATCATTTACTCTTTCCCCCTGCAATTGCAACCTGATGCACCCTGGGCTTTCAAGCCGATCTTGAGAGTGTTCAAAAAAGAGCCCTCGTGTATCTCCGCTGGGGCTTCTTGTAATCGACTGTATGAGTGTGAGAGTGTCCATCATGAATTAACAAATAACCAAACAACTCAGTTTCCAAAATGAATTATTTGTTAACAATCCATCCAATAAGATTTACGGTTTGTTACCTAAAAAGTGCAACAGGCCAACTTATAATTTAAGCATTTTTTAGCTTACTAGGATATTTTTAGATTAGTAAAATTGTGTGGAGAGAAGGGACTTTAACACACACTTCTGGGGGTAGGGAATCCAATCTTTACCAATTGAAGGTTGACTCAGGGTACTCCAACTGCCTATTTTACCAGGAGTTGCTTCTTGGCTGTTATAATGAAGGGATTTTGCAATTTTAGACACCCAAGGAATAATAGATACTGTGAGTTTCAACAACTGCACTTGATGCACGTCAATTACCCTTTGCCATATTGTTGTAGAGAACAGAATTACTGGCTTGGATAATTTTTCACCGCTGTTCGTGGATTTCTCAAACGATTGTTAGGTTGGTGTCTGGACAAATAAAAGCAGAAATGGAATTTCTTCACTCTCTCTGGAGTCCATTACGCGGTAAGCATCTCCTTTATGATTTGAAAAGTTACCAGAACGTACAGTAATACTAGTGGTGGCAATACGTCTAGCGATGCTTTCTTTATGCTCCTAATAATAATATTATCATAATAATAATTGTGTCATCATACCCTGGTTTTCAGCAGCCCTTATTTATTGCTAAACTTGGCTGATGCAGCACCTCAACTGTCTGATTTGACATGTGCGATTAGTAATCAGACCGGCCAAATCGGACAGTTGGACAGCCAATGAAAATCGAGCATCAAAGCATAAGGTTTAACAAATTAGTCCTCTATGCTAGCAAATCATAACCAAGAAAAAGTGAGCAAGTTTTTCAACTTCGGTTTGTCACATTGTTTAAAAAAGTTCGTGCATCAAAGACAGGATATATTCTCCATATGTTGAAAGCCAGGTTTTGTTTTGGAAGCTGTAAGCTGCTGCGTTGTTCTTTGTTCCTTTGTCGTGTTTCACTCAGGATGACCGAGTATTGGCCGCTCATTGTTTGCAGTCGTTCGCGGCGACTTACATCACAAGTGACTACATCGTGCAGGGACACAAACGATAATACTTTATCATTAAGGTTACGTTTTGGTCAGTGTATCTTAACTGTTTTTTTTTTAAAATATTATTGCAGCGGATTCTGAAAACGAGACGGTAAGATATCTGATCACTGTTGCCACAGGAAACCTAAAGGGAGCTGGAACAAATGGATCAGTGTCTCTAGTTATTAAAGGTACGAAACAGAAAAACGAATTATTGTTTTAGGCATTGAAACGTACTGTTTGTTAAAAAAAAAAAAAAAAAAAGCTTAAAACCAATAAAGACAACGTTGTTGGTATTGTCCTTAACAAATATTTACCTTAAACATGAAACGATTATGTCAGCTATAAAAACCAAGGTGTTAAGTCCCATATTAAACAAGCGATCAGCAGTTATATTTCCATTATAATCAATAGACGCAATCATCATGTGTTGAGTACCGCTTTTTCCTTGGTGTGCTGAAGACCATGTTCCATATACTACTAAAGAAATTTCGCGGGAAATTGCTATTTCTACGCCCGATCAGTGTAGCACTATCGCGTAAGTGACTTACTTCTGCCAAAAATTAAGAGCGGCTCCCCGTAAATATCAACTAGATGTGGAAATAGTAAGAAAATGACCTGGCTTCAAACTCAGCCAGAATAAAACCCTATGGGCCCTACTTACAAAATCGTTGGTTTAAGTACGATCGAATATTTTTTAACGAATTTTTTTCTTCCCGAGGCCTAAACTGGGCAAAAATCATGCAAAATTATAGTCATATTCAGTAACTTGTACATTTTAAAATAAAGTTGGGCTACTAAAATAAAATGACACTTCGTATGTTTACTATCTTTCCTCTATAATTTTAACTGATTAGTTCGCGATTTGGTCAACAGGAGACTTCTAAAGAAATTTTCATTGTTGTTGACTCAAAATCGCTTAATCAACCGTCAAAATTTAGCACTTTTTCACGAGCTAAAAAAGCGGATTGGTACATGGCTTTGAACACCAAGGCTTGTTTACTCTGAAAAACTGGAGAAAGCATTCTTTTTTCTTCAAATTAGCGAAATAAAATTTTTGGGTAAATGAAATCACGAGCGCTGACAAAGCGAAGCAAATGTAAATATTACATTGAAAACGGGCGAAAAAACGGGACCTCTGACCGAAGCACCGACCAAATGCGAATAACGGAAGGCGCTAAACCTTTAATTATTCGGTTGCTTCTCGAACTCTGACAACATTGGTCCGAAATGTGTATAGATTTTTTAAAATAGAGCTGAGTGTCAGAAAGTCCACAAAGCGGTAACAAATACAACAAAAGTCACGAGTAATCTGTTCCGTTTTCTGACTTTTATGCAGCTATTTATGCGATTTAACGAATTAACAATTTTTACTGAATCCACCGATACCCACCTGAGACTGTGTTAGTTTAAGAGTCCATAGAACTTCTTCAGAAGATTCCTCGGAAAGACCTCCAGAAGGAAATGAATGAAGAATTTGAACTTATAACTGTAACAATTTTACTTGCCGCCACGGCAATGAACGAAAACAACTGTCGAACTGCCACAGGCAAACCAGCTTTCAGTGCAGTCATTCAAAGCATGTCAAGTCACGTAATTCTGCCCCGCGCATTTGGGAAGGAGGAAAGAAATTCTTTCATGCTGTGGGCTAAAAGATTTATGAAATAAAACTAGCTTTGGACTGTATCTTTTGTAACTAGTTAAAGAAAAGAATAACTTTTTCCCCCGTTTTTGCTCGAGGGGCGCTGTGCACTTCTTTTATTTTATCTGCTGTTTATAATGATTGTGTTTCAAGTTCAGAACGTGCATCTGTAGCTAGCAATTGGTGTGTTCGAATTACCGAATGCTGTAGAAAGGATATCAAAGGGCACCAAAGCAGTGGCGGATCCAGGGGGAGGGTCCGGGGAGTTCGGACACCCCCCCCCCCATCAGATCTGATACTTGTTTGAGACTAAAATCCTGACAACGATAGGATTGTATATCACTGTTTAACTGGCTGGCTTTTTTAATAAAACGCGTGTTGTATTTTATCACTAAATTAAATTCCAGGGATATTAAAAAATGTGATTGTCTTTAGGTACCATCCTACTATATGTTCGCCTCCGCTCGCAAAGCAGTATTTCCCGCGCCAACGGCGACTGGCTTTCACAGATTGAGAAACTCGTAGTCGTCTCTGCCTTCTCAGTGACTAGTGGGAGGGGTTGTGGGGGAAAAATAATTTGCCACAAAAAAGTTCAACAGTCCTTTCTTAAACAAAATTTGGACCCCCACGGAAAAATTCCTGGATCTTCCCCTGCAAAGATGTTACTCTGAGTTCGGAGCCAATCAAGGCTTATACTGGCGCGTGCAAGTAAATCAATTTTTTTCGAGTTAAGAGGTTCACTTGTGGGACGAAAGACAGTATAATTTTATTTGACCTTTTCATTTATGTAATATGAAAATTGTGCCTGATCACGTGTATCCTAGAGGAACAAGATACATTTGTTGCGAGCCTTTTATAATCATTCGGTTTCCTGTGGTTCGGTGGTTCCTTGTGTTGAGACATCCCGACTAAAAGCCAACAACAGGGAATGAACTCTACGGAAGCCAATGAACTAGTGGCCGCATCCGCATCTCAAAAAAAGATTTGGATAAAGTTGAAAGGACAAAATCGAAGGAACTGATCGGTGAAAAGAGGAAAGAAAGTCAGTACAAACAAAATTAAGAAAATACATGATATAATTTTTTCCGATATTAGTCGGTTTGCAACACAAACCTTTGACGGAGGCTGATACTGTGGGGTCGTTACCAAAATTGAAATTAAAGCTAAAGTACATAATTATATACATAACTGGTGATTACAAAGGTAGTCTAATAAACCTGAACTGACGCAAGCAAGGAACCAAAAATAACTACCTGGCCCTGGTTGATCAAACGACCGATCATTTTCCAACGGACACCGTGTAGAACGAAATTTTTGCGGATTGGCGATTTATTGTGTTTTGCGGGAACTAATTTTTGCGATTAAGACAGACTGGCTTTTCTTGCTGGGGATTAATTTTTGCAATTTCAGAAAGTACCCAGTACCCAGCATTGATAATATTGTCGTTTTTATTAAGTACATGCAAAAGAAATACACTGTATTTTGAAACAATACTAAGTGTGCGTCAGTATTTGTTTCTGAAAAAAAGAGACCAGTTGTAATTGAACAGACACGATTTCTTGGAACTGTATTCTTGTGTAGTAATTTTAAGTTAGAGAATACTGTATTTCCTCTGGAGTAAATTTTTTGGGGAAAAATTTTTGCGGTAATTTTTTATTTGCGGCAACTTATTTTTGCAAAGTACTAACAGTCATGAAATCCTATCAATAAAATTCAGCCGTGAGTGAAATAGTAAAAATGACAAGAAGACAGAGGGGAAAAAATAATGAAATATCAGTCCACTGTGTTTAAACTTGTTTAGCCTGACATTTTATGAAAGCGAACGGGAATGACATATTTATTTGTTCTGGAGCGATGAATTTTTTTTAAAAGCACGTTTCATAGCAAAAATTTGCTAAAACTTTAACTGAGAACCATTGCTAGATTGTATGGTATTTTTTCTCGTTCCCTTTTTTTTCTAGTTCTGTTTGGTCACATGAACCGTGATGTCAGCTTTTTTAGTTAAGATAACCATGTTTAGGCTGTTGTGGACATGTCTCATATTAACTCAGTCGTGACAGATGAAACCTTTATTACACTTGGGTGCAAATGTTATTACGGATGGACCTTTATTACACTTGGGTCCAGTTATTTCATTGTGTGCCTTCCACAAGTTCCACTGACAAGAAATCCGGATCCCTGAAGTGAATTTGGCCTAAGAGGCAACCAAACTTTTAGCCTCCTTGGTGGCATTTTCAGGGGAGTCATATTTTCCCATATTTCCTCCCGTACCTGAGACAAAAATATGTGTCATTTATACCAGTCTGTAAATAAAGCGAAGGGCAAATTAGAAAATTGAGGCTGACGTTGTTGAGATCAAAGGTGAAAAAAACAATTCACACTTTTCGTTTGTGGGGAGGGAGGAATTACGAATCCCCTAAAAACGCCTGCTCATCAAGTCCAAGATTATATCGGCGGAAGAGGCACCTTTGCCCTCAAGCGAGGGCAAAAATGAAACAGTCCAAAGCTTGTTTTATTTCATAAATGTTTTAGCGCAGAGCTTGGAAGAATTTCTTCCCTCCTTCCCAAATGAGCGGGGCATGCACTGAAAGCTGGTTTGCCTGTGGCAGTTCGACAGTTGTTTTTGTTCATTGCCGTGGCGGCAAGTGAAATTGTTACAGTTATAAGTTCAAATTCTTCATTCATTTCCTTCTGGAGGTCTTTCCGAGGAATCTTCTGAGAAGTTCTATGGACTCTTAAACTAACACAGTCTCAGGTGGGTATCGTTGGATTCAGTAAAAATTGTTAATTCGTTAAATCGCTGCATAAAATTCAGAAAACGGAACAGATTACTCGTGACTTTTGTTGTATTTTTTACCTCTTTGTGGACTTTTTGACACTTAAGGTGATTCCCTGGTTTTGCACTGCGCATATCTTACTGCGCATAACAAGATGGCCGCCGTAAAAAAGAGCATGTGAAGTAACATTATTAAAATGAAGTTGACTGAAGAGAAACGCTATTGGAATTTTTGCTTGCGGTTGTTTCTTGCCGACGTGAGACTCAATGTGTTGGGACTGTCCATAACGTAGGCAGTACGCGTGTTGCTGAGTTCGACTTCCTCACGGAGAACCTCGATAGTGGATGTTTAACTTGTGCTTACTCACTTTGATTTTTATTCAAACGCTTTCTTTATCACATTGTATCCTAAATGTGATATCTCGATGTAAATTCTGTAAAAACAGATTTTTTAATACTTTCTTCCCCCTTTCACATACATTTTATTTTGAAACTCGCCCCAGTCCTCTCTCAAAACTCGGAGAAAATGCATTTGGTGCGCACTTTCTGCAGCTCTACCGCAAAAACGAGTGCGGTGACCCCCATTTTTTATTTCATAATTTTAATAAGGACAGTGCTTCCTTTCGATGAGAAAAAAATTGGCACAAATCTATGTTCAGTTTTTTGGCAATTTTACTAAATTGTACGGATTGAGCTATCACGGGTCGAATAGCGCGTGTCCAATTCAATTCTACTTTGGAGCGTAAAATAAAAACAGGAGCATTAAAAGGTATTTTTCTGGTATGTAAGTGGATAAACAATACAATAAAGTCAAATTCTGTGCGATACCACATGCATCATCGAAAAAATCTCTCGCTTTTGTTTAGTTTTGGGCTGCGCGCGGTTTTTGACAAAGGGTCCAAAATAGCCGTATTTCACAGCATTGTGACGCAAAACGAGCACGGTGACCCCCACTTTTTATTACTTTTTTATCATCTTCTTGACTTGTTACATCAGTGTACCAAGTTTCATCTACAAACTATGTTAGGTTCTTTTACTAGGGAATCACCTTAATACTTAAACTGAGCTTTATTTTGAAAAACCTATACACATTTCGGACCAATGTTATTTCGATTAATTAAAGGTTTGGCGCCTACCGTAATTCGCGTTTGGTTGTGCTTCGGTCAGAGGTCACGTTTTTGGCCTGTTTTTAGTGTAACATTTACATTTGTTTCGCTTTGTCAGCGCTCGTGATTTCAATCCGCATTTTTAGTTCGTGAAAAAGTGCTAAATTTTGACGGTTGATTAAGCGATTTTGAGTCAGCAACTTTAAAAATTTCTTTAAAAATCTCTTGTCGACCAAATCGCAAACTAATCAGATAAAATTATAGAGGAAATATAGTAAAAATATGAATTGTCATTATATTTTAGTCGCCAACTTTATTTTAAAATATACGAGCCACTGAATATGACTCTAATTTTGCACAATTTTTGCCCATTTTAGGCCTCGGGAAGAAAAAAAATCGTTAACAAAATATTATTCACTCGATCGTATTTAAACCAACGATTTTGTAAGTAGGGCCCATAGGGCCTTATTGACTTTATTCTGGCTGAGTTTGAGGCCAGGTCATTTTTTGACTATTTCCACGTCTAGTTGATATTTACGCGGAGCCTTTCTTAAATTCTACTTGTGTAATTTATGTGGGGAAGGGAATAAACTAAAAAAAGACAAATTGGCTCATTTCAGTCTTTTGATAAAACAAGTCAACAAATCTCTTATTACACCTGCACTTATAATTAAAAAAAGGGAGCATTTTTTTACCACTACTACCGCGCTATTGCCTGATAATTTAAAACTTTTTGTGTTACTAAAAGGCACAAACGGTGAAACAGAGTCGCTGGAATTGGACAAAGAGTCTCGCTTGTCTTACGATGACTTTGCAGTCACAAATGAGGAAACAATTGCAGAGGAACAGGACATATTTGAGGCTAACAGAAGCGTGAGAAGAGAAGTCAAAACAAAAGGTAACTTGAAAGGCTGAAGACAATAAATTTCTAATTGAACTTTCGAAATTAAATTTACTCAGTAACCTGTATAAAAATAGTCGAAAACCAGTGGGTATTTTCATATACCGTGAAACAGAGGGGCATTCTGTCTGCGCATGTGCAGTACAAAGAGGCTTTTATAAGTAGCCGCTGAAACGCGCCCACACGTGGNAATACAAACATTGACATCACTTCCGGTTGCAAAAAGCATTGATCCGCTCTTTCCCCGATGGATCTCGTAAGATGACCGCTGACTACCTTTCGGTTTCTTAAATATGATGAATGAATGAATGAATGAATGAACGAACGAACGAACGAACGAACGAAGGAGCGAAGGAACGAAGGAATGAATGAATGAATGAATGAATGAATGGGTGGATGGATGGATGAATGAATGAATGAATAAAAAGTTGTGAATAGTGAATAGTAAATAGTAGAATATCTTTATTGCGCCTTACTCTCCAAAGGGAGCTATCGGTATAGTTACAATAAAGGTTTTAATATCTGTTACTATAACAACATATTTATTGAAGCAAAACCGAAAAAAAAAAAACAATAACAGCAAAATTACAACACACTCATATGATTTTATCTGTACTTCTAAAACACTAAGCCGCTACTCACGTTAGAATTCCCCCTGTTTAAGACCGGCTTGACACAAACTCCCATGTTTTTTTTCTTTTATTAAAACGTAAAAGTCATTACGGAACAAAGTGACATTACTGAAGTGATCTGATCAATAGAACACCCAGAACACATTTCGATCTTCAAGAAATGTGTTTTAATTTGACATATTTTACTGATGTAGGAAATGTTCTCGTCGCTGAGGGTGGCGGTTTAAAATCCACTAAATGGATTATCTGGTCTCAATTGCGTCGCCTAATTCGCTGGCTTGGCTGGACTTCTGATGAGTTTAAAGCAGGAAAAAGAAATTACTACCGTGTGACTGGTAAAGACGTCGGCGATCCTTTATTGGTGGTGTTGAAAAGAGTCGGGGGTTGGTTTGACAACGATTGGTTCGTAGACCGTGTGACGATTGAAGTGGAAGGGAAGGATACCAACTATGACTTCCCATGCAACCGATGGGTGGAGAAAGAGTGTACCTTCTTTGAGGGAACAGGTAGGATGAGTCTTTAACCAAAGGGATATTATGTTTTCCCCCAGCCAGTTCAGCAGTCGAAAACACAAGCAAAAACTTTGCCGACCCTTATTGTCTTTACCCACGTAGGAGTACACAATATAGTACCAGTACTTTCGTAATGGTACTTTCTCTACGCTGGATTAGAATCCCGACCTGTACATGTCTAGGGAGGATTTTCATTATTCGCTCCCGTAATTTTGGCCGAAAAAGCCTTTTTGAAGCTCGTCTAGCCGTTTTCTGTTCGGTTCACTGTTTGGCCAAAAAGAATCAAAACTGCTCTGAACGCAGTTTTTATGTCGAGCACTACGTTTTCTTCTGTTTCTGATACTAAATTAAATAACAGCTTCCGAAATTCAAGCAGGCATAGAAAGAAAACTTCGAAATGGTTTTTGGGTTTAAAAAGTGACACACAGCAGTCTCGACTTTTAGTCTTAACGCTCTGACTCCATCCGGCTTTATGTTATGCCGGCATAAGAACTTTTTCGAATCCTGCCTTTCTTTCAATTTTGTCTTTGATGACGTTAGATATATTCTTTATCAGCTAAACTGCCTACAGATGAACAGCATGACAAAGTGAAGGCTCAAAGAGGAGAAGAGCTTAAGCACAGGCGTTTGCTGTACGAATGGGGGCGGAACGATGCGTACTCAGATTTGCCGGGCTTCGTGAAAGCTGCAGCTGCTGATGAACTACCAAAAGACGTGCAGTTTACTGATGACGCTGCGAACAGCTTGACTGACGCTGTGAGAAATACTTTACTTAATCTGGGGCTTGAGAGTCTACTAGACAAGTTTTTCGACTGGGAGGACTTTAATGACTACCGTCAGGTATTTGAACTTTTGTGCTACTAATTTGCCAGGAAATGCTAGCGCTAAGTAAACTTCGTTACTATAATCAAAGCGGAGCTCTACGCGCGCGCAAAGCGGGGACGAGAGGACGCCCATAGCTAAGAAAATTTGGTTACCTATGCATCCAAGAAATTTGGCAGTCACGTGACCATACGTCCACCCGCCCGCCCGTCCGTGCGCACCACAGAGAAAACCAATGTGAAATGATAGATGGATAGAAACCTTGGTATTAATAGCGTAGTTTTTGTACAAAATAAAAACTGCTATCCATAGAGGCCCTATATGACAAACTAAATTGAATAGATATAATACTGATAATTAAGTACCAATAAAAATAGCTATAAAAAGTTATATAAAAGCCTTAAAAATTTAATTGCTAGAAAAATCATAAAAATGTAAAAATCTAAATCTGATTAAAAAATACACAACCATATAAAAAAAGGCCTTTCTCGTACATTCTAACTTTGCAGACAGGAGTCTAAGTTTACCAATGCTCCTTGTTCTTCTGGGCAACACATCCTCGTTATAATTAAAATAGTGCATAAAAAGCTGTGGACAACGGTTGCTTAAACATTTCTTAATTAGATTGAGTACATGGCTATCACGCCTTTTCTCCAGAGTTACGTAACATTAGAAATTTAGCGCTTTTTTCGCTGCTCCCCAGACGCATAACGATACGTGCTGCCCGCCTCTGCAACTTCTCCAATTTATCAGCGTTAACACTCCCGCAGTAGCTCCACACAGTGTCGCAGTAATCAAGAATAGGGAGATTAAAAGACGTATAAACGGTACCTGCCGTTTACATGTTTATAATTTCCCTAATTCGCCCTAACATAAGATTGCTAATCTCTTGCTAACCCTACCGATCAAGTAATCAACGTGCGCATTCCAGGTAAGCGAAGCATCGAGAACAACCCCAAGATATTTATAATCAGAAGCCTAATAAACTGCTTTTCCATCAATGACGATGACGTATTTCACGTTTAATCTGGCCAGTTCTCCAAGGGCAATTGTCAAGTCCACGAACTTGTTTTTGGATAAATGGGCGCATAAGCATAATAACGTACGTACGCGCAGAATGCCATATTTGACTCTTTTCTCGATACCAGTTTTCCTCAACCAAATGATAAACAAGATGGCGGACGAAGCGTCCGCCATATTGCTTTTGATATGATTGCATGAGGTCTGGGTCAAAATGACCTATGATTGGTCTACGGCCTTGTCTTTATGCCTGTGCTTATGTCGACCCCGATTTCACTAGTCAAAGGTGCGACATAAGCACAAGCACAAGCACAAGAAGAACGAACTCGTCCGTTTTTCTTGTGCTTCTGCTTCTGCTTCTGTCGAGCCAGTTTTCACTTGCTTCCACCTGTGCCTGTGCTTATGCTTATGGACCAAGCATTCTCTTCCCACACGTTGTTGATGATTCCCTGACGCCATTGATTCTGAAGTAGGTTTCGGTCTTCTGTAACTTTCGCTACTTACTACTGGTCTAGCAAGCTGGCTGGCAACTTGCAGTTCAGAAGCTTTTCTCGCCAGACGCCGGTGATCTTTGCTCAGCGGATATTGCAAGAGTTGAGTGACTGCGATGAATACGAAGAGAGCATGGGCGATTTTTACCGGGAGCCGTGCGAAACTAGTACACGCCGCTGCAACATGACATTGCACATCCATGTTGTATTACAATGGCAGCTGTCAAAGCATGTACATTGTATCTGCTGACCAGTATCGCATGACCGTATCGCGGGCTCAGTTGTCGACCCATCGAAGTTACGTGTTTTTTGAAGTTTACCGCTGACAAGTTTCTAGCTTTCAACTGATCGCAGGCTCAAATGTAATAGGACTCTTTGTTGATAACATTCATTAACAGGAGCTTCACCTTTAGCTGCGCCTAATTAATTATTTTTCGCCGACGGCGAAGTTCATATTGTTAAATAATCCCAAGACGAAGTCGAAGGGATTATTCAACAACTTCGCCTGAGGTGGATAATTGTTTTAGTGTGTACCAGTGAAGTGATCTCAACAGAATCAGAAAGGTAACAATAGGGTAACCACAGACAAAATATCAAAATATCATTACATCAATGTCATGTGTACATACATCCCTGTGATATTGAATACATCCATGTCATGTGCAATAAAAGATGTTCGGTGCAACGTTATGCTAAGCACAAGATGTTCGATAAAACTAAAAGAAGTAGGATAAAACTAAAAAGGCGAGGAAGCCAACGTGATACAAGTATAAAAAGATGTTCGATAACACAAAAGATATTCGTTAAAACTAAAAGATGTGCGATGAAACTAACCAAGACCAGGAAGCGGAAATAAGAGATCAAATGGCTTTGGAGAGAAAGCCTGGGGACAAAATGATTACTGACTAGATGGCGGATTTCTAGCGATGGGATAGAAGAAATAAAATGCAAGGTGCAGTGATTTGACTTCCTAATATCGAGGAATTTTTTGTTTCTCTGGGTAACTTAATCACAAGTGCACAAAGACAAAGGGCCGGGGATTGAAAGAAGTAGCTGGCACAATGGTAGAAGTAGCCGCCGTAGCGGTTCTTTGGCTTCAACTAGCTTGTCTTGGAATCTGAAATTGCGCATTCACTTCATCAGCGATTGACTCAAATTCATCTCTGCTGCTTTGTCATTGAATTGTTTCCTCTTTGATTTGATCTGGTCTGAAGATTTATGACCGCGTTTATAACGTTCCGCACAAAGTCTTGGACAGACCTGAGATCCGCAGCCCGCAGGACGATCCGCCATGTTTAGATGGAGAATGACAGGCAACAAAGCGCGGGAAAACTGCTGCATGGGTAAACATCATTTCTGGTTAAGAGCTAAATCATTTCCGCTTCCTCATCTTTTAGTGGTAATCATTTCGTTAAAACTAAAAGATGTGCAATCAAACTAACAGAGGAAGCGGGAATGATTACCACCAAAAGATGAGGAAGCGGAAATGATCTGGCTCTTAACGGGAAATGATGTCATCTTTTATTGCACATAACATGGATGCATTTAGTATGCAGGGATGTATGTACACACGACATTGATTTTAATTAATGATATTTCCATATTTTATCCGTAAAAACGCGCCATACCAATCGCGACGATCAAAACCGCTCACAATTCTCTGATAAAATGAAACTAAGCAATGATCGTTATAGATTATGTTAAATTTACGCGAGGAAAACATGTGTACTTACTTGCATATGAAGAAAGTGTTTAGATTTTGACAAATTCACGATGTAACAAAAACTTGATCGTAAAAAGTACCGCGATGGGGTCGCGCCGTGATTTTCGATCTCTTCGCCGACGATCACTCAACCGAAAACAAGTACCTCCCTGCTTTGTCGCTGGCCTCAACCATCAAGTCGGTGGTATATATCGTTTGTTTACTTGTCGATTTTTTCCTGTTCACGCCTGGCTTTGATTGAGATTGTGAAACTGGTTTTTCACCTCGCTCTGGGGTGCTTACCATTTGACAGAAAAATCCGGTTGGGGTGTCGAAAGCATAATAGTAAGCGATTTACCAGTTTACCGTAGAAATGCCGCATCCGCTACGGTTTGAAACCAAAAAAGGGCGAATTTATGTAGAGTGAGTCTGGAACCGGGAAGGAACCGAGAAATTGGTTAATGGTAAACAACATTCCGTTTGGTTCGTACCAACCGGAATGAAAGGACTACCTCAAAACGTACTCCTCAATTTTCGGTTGGAATTTCCGAAAAGTGACCTTACCATTTACCTTCCATCCGGAATTTCCGAAATTTTCTGTCAAATGGTAAGCACCCCTGGTCTAATGACAGCACGTGACGCAAAAAATGTCTCATGATCCTCTAGGAAACAATCGGCTTGCATATGCATGAACCCCAGTGGAGTGGGGTTCGGAAAATAGGGAGATTAAGATAATATAAAATAAGCGACTTTATTTAACGCCCTCAAAAAATAAATTAAGAAATACAATGAAATGTCGATTTTTCCTGTTCACGCCTGGCTTTGATTGAGATTGTGAAACTGTTCGTCGATATTGAAAGATTAAGTAATTAGCATAATGGATTTGCAAATACCGGTGCAATTTTCTTGAGAACTCGTACACTTATACCATCGTACCCATGGGCCTTGTTGCTGGTAGGAAATTTTTTCTATACGGCCAATAGTTTGTTTAGGCGCTAGCAAGGGAATGTGTAAAACGTGTCTTCATTTAATCTTGAACAGATAAAGTTTGTCAGCTTGGTGTTGTCAAACTCTACGTCAGCTATGTTGTCCTTGCAAATTTGTTCTAAGATGTTAGCGAAGTACTTAATATTAATATATTTGCATTGGAGGCGTCATCGCTAACAATGCCATTTTCTGTAACAATTTCATTGATACGAAGTCGAGGTTTACTTGTCCCGCTTAACGATTTCAGTGCCTTCCAAATACCTTTAGGATTTTCTTTGTTCTCATCAATTTTCTCGCGAAAAAAACTTCTCTTTGTTTTTTTTTAATGAGATTTGTGGTTTGACCTTTTGCACGCGTGTACTGAGCCCAGTCCTCATGCAAACTGCAATACGCGCCTTTTTTTTAATAATTTGTCCCTTATTTTCTTTGAACGTAGAATCTCCTTTGTCATCCAGACAGGTTCAGGGCTGGGTTTCTTGACACGTTTAGACTCAAGTGGAAGATATCGTTCTAGAACATCGTTAAGCATTGTTTCTATGAAACTCAGAACATCGTTTATATCACCGAACACAAACGCTTCGTCCCATGGGGTACATTGTAGATCTTTTAGTAATTCATTAGTATTCAATTTCTTTAAGTCACGATATTCGATGGTACTGTGAAACTTAGCTCTCTGCCTTTTTTGAGTATTTTCTTCTGAAATAATAAAAACCCGTAGATAGTCCGCAAGATCAATGTTAGAGATAGAAATATCGGCCATGAAGCCCGGATGCGTTGTGTAGACGTGGTCAAGACAAGGAGAGCTTACAGGACGTGTAACTTCATTAACGAGTTGACTCAAATTAAGCGTTTGCGCCAAACGGCAGACGTGAATTTGTACCACGTGACCAAGTTTCCCCCTTATTTTCCGTTTACTCTTTATTGCTTCTACACAAAAATAAGTGGTTTTATGCCCGTTTTAACCATAGGAATCGGGACTGTTTTTATCTTCTTATTTTCTAATCTGAGAAATTCTCAACTTAAGTCTGACGTTTGCCGTTTGCGGTTAACGTGAATCTTAATCTCTCTAATGACACATTTTGACCACGCCGAAGTCGACATGTAACCATAAACAGAAGATGCGCGAAAGTTAGATCGCTTAGCTTACAGTACCTTCAAACATGGCATATCATTTTTCTAATCTTTTTGTAAGCTTGAGCATTAATGGTTTAAAAGAAAATGTCGAAAGTTTAAATTACTAACCCTTTTAAGAAGAAACGTGGAGCTTAGTTTGGTTCTGTCAACTTACTGTGAATGAGAAAGTTTTTTTGTTGTCGCTTCTTGCAAATGCTCTCAACAGCGAAAACGATCGAGGTGAGCGTTGTTTATCTGCAGTGTTCTTTGCCTTGTTAACTTGGTTGCACGTACAATTTTCGAAAATATTTGCCATTTTTTTCTATAAATTAGCTTTTATTCATAGGCAAAGTTAGCCTTGCAAGGAAATCCCTAGTTCACAAAACAGTGACAAAGCGGCTTCGGTTTCCTCTGCAGTGGTAAACATTGCTTGGAGTGTTTAAGAAGTCAGCTACAGTAAATCACTTCATAATAATTCACGCTGTTTGTAAACCATGAAGTCTTTTCTTTCCTTCAAAATCGTCGGATATAAAGTATTCTTGTATTTTCAAAAAGTTCTTACTCTGAAACTCTGGCAAAACACTCAGTTCAAGACAGTGATTTTGTTGCTTTATATTGCGGTGATTATAGTCCGAGACAGCGACCCAATCAGATTGCTCGAATCACCAAGATCACTGAATGTGTATATACTAAATCTATATATTAATCAGCGATTCTGTATAAGGAAAAAACTATGCACCAACAAATGATAACATATACAGTGGAACCCGTTAATACGGTCATCAATAAGCAAAACAAATTGGCCGCCATATTAGCGGGCGACCGTATTAAAGAGGAGTTTTGACAAGAACATTTATGGCCGTTTAGCCAGGCCGCCGAAAAAGGTGGCCGGAATAAAGAGGTGACCATATTACCAAGGTGGCCGTAAGGCGGGATTTCACTGAATGTTATCCTCTTTCTTTAAAGGAGCAAGAAATAATGATACACGACTGGTTATAAATGCACCGCCATCTGTGCGGGTCGTCCCTGATTTGATTCCATGGTGTTACCCCTTCCCAGGTTTGACTGCTTAGGTTACGTAGGTTACGGGATAGAGATCCCAGTAAATCTCACGGAAGAAAGCCAAACGGATGCTTGCTTGATATGTCCCGCGTGTGCGTAATAGTAAATATAGCTGGCTCCTCTGGTCGCCCACTGGAAAACAGTGCTCGTACGGAGAGAAACTGAGTAAGGGGAAGGAAGGGGAGGGGGTCGAGTTTGTTAGGCAGATCACGACTTACTTCGAGCCAACGGTGTAAAGAAAAGAAGATTTCCTCCTCCTGACGATCGAAGGGGCTCTGTTCGCAAGGTACTCTATACCGTCGATTTCGGCTTAGACTGGTTGGCGATCAGAAGAATCTTTTTTTTTTCACATTGGTCTCTTAAGATGGGGATCGCTTCATAGTAATGCCGAGACTCTAGGAAAATGAAAACTTTAGTGGTAGATTGTTCAATATTTTACGATTATAGATATTTACTAAGTTCGTCGATGGCGTACCTCAAGCAGCAGACCATTGGAAGGATGACCGCTTCTTTGGTTTCCAGTTCCTAAACGGATGTAACCCAGAGTCTATCGAAAGGTGCAACAAACTGCCATCAAACTTCCCTGTCACGCAGGAGTTAGTTGGAAATCAGTTGGACAAAGGAGACACATTAGAGAAAGCACTGAAGGTTACTTTTCTTAATTTTTTTACTTTCGGATAATAAGTCTGTGTTTTGCTTAGGCCCGGTTGGCTGGTTTACCCAGCTTATCTTGGGCTAACAATAAAATAGAAAAAAGGGGAAATATTATTGACTGCAATTACAATCTGGAATTTTCATTGATTTTCACTCATTTCACGCCTTTTTTTCTAGAACGACAAACGCTTTGTGAGGCGTCTGTGCAATGAACATTTTCTCTCATTCAGTTTTATATCTTTTTTTATGCAAAAATTGCGCGGATTGCTTATGGCTAAGATTTTTTCGACTAATTAAAATAAATTAATAAAAGAAGTTCGTGGCAAGTGATCCGGCGGCAAATCAAGGAAACCTGGCAAGCGCTTCTTCTCGTGCCAGACAAAAGCCTGCCTGAAAACTTCCCGTTAGTTCCATATTTAAGATTTTTAAAATGTTCCGCTTGAGGACTTTAATTCATTACCGTTCAGTAGTTATTAAACTGGTACCTATAATTTCTAGGGCGGTCGGATCTACAAAGTGGATTACAAAATCTTGGAGCACATTCCGCCCTATGGTCAGAAAGGAAAGGACGTAAGGTACATGTGCGCGAGCCTGGGTCTTTTCTATGTCAAAGGAAGCGGAGACCTGGTGCCAATAGCCATTCAGCTTCATCAGCAGCCAAGCAAAAATAATCCAATATGGACCCCGAATGACTCCGAGTTGGACTGGCTCTGTGCCAAGTTGTGGTTAAGAAACTCGGACACTCAGTTCCATCAGGTATCTTAGACAATAGGCCTTTTTGCAGAATATGGTCACACGGTACAAAAGACACCTTGCTGGATGGCTGGATGGATATTTTTGCTAAAATCAAACAACCCCACTCTCCTTAAAAGTAAAATGGTCGGCCCTTTCGGTGGGCCACAACATGATGTGGTCTGCTTTATAAGCGATCCGACCAAATGTTTGGCCTGGGGTAGGGAAACGACTGCCACTAGCTAGGGCTTTCAATACATCATCGGTAGGAGCTCTCAATTTGAGATCGAATGAGCTTAATTTCTAAATTTGAGAAACAATCGCTTCAAAACAGGTTCCCTTTTACTCTTTTTAAAATTGAGTCAAAACATTGGGCTTTTTTATGAAGCACATTGAGTCAAAAAAAAATTAAGTCAAAAATTAAGTTCACGAGCACACTAAAAAATAAAACTGAAAACAGTTCTTGCACTAAAAAAATAAAATGTACATTAAAATTTTCTCTTAAAAAAGTATAAAGGAGCGTGGTAAAAGCAAAAAGCAACATTTGGTGTCGAGGTTCTGATGCAAAGGACCGAAGTTTTTCTTAAACAAAAAATTATTGGGGTTCAAAATTACTATTTGTTCCGAAATAATTAGTCCCTTCAGCCTGTCCCTTATTGCCGATTGTGGCAATTGTATATCAGGGAGCTTAAGACGGCGATGTCTACGAAAACGTCACTTAAAAAGTGAATTCACGCTACTTCAAACTTTATCGCCCTTACTCCAACTCGTTCAATTCGTCAAATTTTGGCAAATTTTTCTGGAGTTGAATTCTAAAAGACTGTATCAAAGTTCAGGAAAAGAAAAGGAAAGTCCTTGTCTGCGTTCACATCCTCGACAAAAGGTGAAATTAGGCACTCTCACGTTGTAGTCGTGCAGCGACAGCAAAGAAATATACAAAAAAGCAACATAAACATGCAAAGTTGTTGCTTTGCCAATCCAAACCGATTGCGTTTTCGCCGTTCTCGTTGCCGTCACCATCGTCGTTGCTTAAGCTCTCTATTAAGTAAAGTTACGAGTAATTTTGCTCAAGGGGGCTTGCTATTCTTGCTCTATTAGAGTTGCTTCTTTTATTTTATTTCTTTTTTATTCTTTACATTTAAACACTTTTACTCCTCTGATGACAAAAAAGTTGACTTTTAAAATCTTTTACAGTGCGACTACTCAAACCGTGGCACTTGGGAAAGCATTATCCAATCACAACCGTTTTTGAAAATGAAAGATTCTCAAAGTTTTTTTTGCAAACTATGCAATCATTGAAAACTCTAAACACGTTTTAACTTACCTGACCTCTCAAGAAACAGCCCTCAAGTTTAAACACAGGACGGAATTTGAAAAATCCGTAAATGGAAATTTAACGTAAACACGTAAAACCGTTGCGGAAACATGACGGCAGTCACATGTTTTCGTCAGCGGATACAGTATGTTTACCCGTGTTTCCGTCGCTGCGTTTTCGGTGGAATCCCACCACTTTTTTTTATACGTTTCCGTCAAATTTCCGTCTATGGAAACACGTGTTTCCGCAAGCGTAAATGCGTGGCATCTTTGCGGAAACACGCGAAAACGTTCCGGAAACAAGACAATTTCATGTTTCCGACTAGGAAAAATGACGGAAACGCGTCCCGTCCATGGAAAACTAGGGGCGCGATCCATGCAACCAAAATTCCGACCGTCCGACGGGGAAAAGTGGTCCACCTCAAAAGGTGGACCAGTTTTTTCAAAACCTTTCCAGTTGGACAGAACCGATCCATTGAGTTTTGGACCGAAATTTCCGGAAATTTTGGTTGAATGGATCGCTCCCCAACCTCGTCCCCAGGGCGCTTTTCCCTGGCTTTGGGGGCGGGGCCGCCCTGGGGACGAGGTTGATCGCTCCCTAGATCACCATGTTTCCGCAGGGCGGAAACGTGACCGATATAAGCAACTTCCCGTTTCCGTAAAGTTTACAAAATACGGAAACACGTTATTTCGTCCTGTGTTTAAAAATGTTGTTGATCCGTTTGCAAAAAACCTTGAAAATCTAGATCTTTTGTTTTCACAAAGCGTTATGATTGGGTTCGAGCAGTCGCACTGTAAAGTGTTTAACTAGAAACATTGTCCCGGGTTTGATTTAGATGATAACTCATCTTCTACGAACACATCTCTTCATGGAACCAGTCACTGTCGCAAGCTACAGACATCTCCCCACAATCCACCCCCTTTGGAAATTGTTGTCTCCTCACATCCGAGGGGTTCTAGCTATCAACACTTTTGGGCGGGGTCGCTTGATAGCAAAAGGAGGCGTGGCTGATAACACTCTTTCTGTTGGAGGCGGAGGTACGTATGTAGTGGATAATTTCGTAAAAAAGGGTTCGCAGGAACCTTGAAAGTACTTGACAGTCCTTGAATTTTTCTTTAAATTCAAGGCCTTGAAGTCCTTGAAAATTGTAGTCGGTGCAGGAGACTCGATCCTTGAATTTCGGTGCTAACTAAATCTAACCCAGATCTTCAAGTGCCTAATATATGAGCGCATAGAACCTTCAGGATAAGAATTGCTGATAATGTGGATGAACTAAAACAAAAATATATCAGACTCAAGGCTCTTTTTGCGCTGAATGGAGTCCTTGAAAAATGGGAAATGTTTTCTTTAAAGTCTTTGAAAAGTCCTTTAATTTGTTGTTCAAAAAAGGATACGAATCCTAATGGAAGATCTTAAGTAAATATGTAAATAAAATAAAACGAACCAAAAGTGATATCTTAGAAAATACTGGAAGAGGGTTCATGAGAACCCTGTAAAATGTCTCACCTGGGCCTGCTCGAATACAAGTGTAACAATTACCAAGCTCAACCTCAAATTACCACTCAATTATTTGTCGTTCTTGGTGACGACTCCTCAAAGGGACTGGAAATATGGACGAAAATCGATCAAGAAAACTTCTTAGAGGAGGGAGGGGATGCATCAAGAGACTAATTAGGTCTAATAAGACCTCATTACGAATTCGACGCGCCCTCTTCCTAGTCCATAATATTAAACAAGCGCCCATGTCCAATAAGCACCCCTCCAATTCCTACTCACTTTTTTTCTGTTTCTATTGTTACTTTATTCATACGTTTTTTAAACTTGACCCTTGAATTGAACTTCAACATTTATACCGATGTATATTGGGACTATGGTACTATGGTATAGTTTTGGCTTTACGTTTACGTGGCCGTAATGTCGTAGTGTTTGTTTTTCCATTGTTGACTTAGCCAAAATAAAGTTTAAAAAAAGCTCCTTGGAAGGAAAATTTATTAAGCGCTCCTCCCCCCTCCCTCCTTCTCGAGAAAGCGCCCTCCTTCCACTGAGCGCTACTTGCAGTAATAAGCGTATGGGCGCTTATTTGAGGAAATATCTAACGATGTGAATTTAGAAAATAATAAAATTTGACTTTGTTTATGGATAGGACACATTTTGCTGATGCAAAAGTATCACAAGACCAACAGTTGGACGACCTATAACCTTCCCCGAGCTTTAAGGAAAAGAGGACTTGATGAGGCTGATAAACTGCCCAACTTTCATTATCGCGATGACGCTCTAAAACTATGGGCAGCCATCAAGGAATTCGTCAACGAAATTCTAGAAATTTACTATCGTTCCGATGACGATGTCGTTAAGGTAAATAGAAATTGTTAACGTAAAAGGTATCAATGGAGGAAGCGATACTATTATCCGCGCTTTTATGGGTCGCGCGCGTAATTAGTTTTTGCCTGAAATTTGAAAATTAAGGATAACCATATCTATCTATTTATTATATTCCTATTTTTCTATTTATTTTGTGTCAGGACTATGAGCTACAGCACTGGATCAAAGATTTACACGATTATGGCTATCCGGTCACTGACGGACACGACGACCATGGTGTCCCAAAGTCCTTCGAGAGCCGCCAAAAGCTGTGCGACTTTCTCACAGCCATTATCTTTACCTGCTCTTGTCAGCACGCCGCGGTTAATTTTTCACAGTTTGATGTCTACAGCTTCCCGCCTAATTCGCCCGCACTTATGCGCCAGCCATCACCTACAAGGAAGGGCGAGATCCAGAAGGAGCACCTTATGAAATGCCTTCCTACCAAGCACCAAGCCGCAAATACTATTGCTGTAGTGTACAATTTGACTCGCATTTTTCCGGATGAGGTAAGAGTTACTCGGTCGTCATGGCTGTCACAGTCCTAATCATGCAGAATTCATAGACAGATAGTGTTCTCAAGCATATCAGACAGACTAAAGCATGTTAAGCATAGCCCCTTAGCTAGCAGGATTATAAAAGTGCGGAGAGCCTCTTTGCTGGCGGAGACGAAGTTTGTAGCGAGCAGCGAAGTCTACGCAATGAAAAATCTCGACTTAAAGCACACTCAGTTTTCTCTAACAGAACTACAAAAATAATAATAAAAAAGTAGTGGCCTTTATCAAATTTAAAGACTTTTTTATTTGGTACTCTGATGAAAAGACTTTGCTCTTTACACACAAAACACAAAATGTTGAAGAAAACGAGACCAGCTGCTACCTTTTGCGGTATAGTTAAAAACAGGAAACAGAAGTATCAAAACTCAGCTTAAATTATCATGTCAGGTTGGGATGGTTTAGAACTTAACCAGGGGTCTCAATCAGTTTCAAAGGCTTTTGGTATAGAAGGAGCCGTATAGCGTAGGTTTTTAAAATCTCTTTTTGAAAGTCTTTATTGCGTAATTTCGTATGAACCCGCAGCCTAATTTGAACACCTGACATGCGTAGTTTGTTCATTGCGCTACTATGGAACTCCGTCTCAGCTTTGCTTGAATCCATCATTTGGAAATTGTAGCTATAAATGACTTCTACATTCTGTCCCATTTTATTACCTAACGCCGTGACACTGAGTAAGGCTACGTCAGTCTCTTAGCGTAAACAATTTTGTGCGTTTGTGACACGTTCGTGTGTTCACACGGGAATGTCTGGTGTGAACCCGAAACGGTCTGAACTTGCGCTGCCTGGAAGCTATCCGAACAGCTTAAAGACGATTGGGTCAGAAAACAATAAATAAGCTAATATGGGGCCAATATGGGATGCGTCGGGGAGTGAGTAGGCGCGCATGCCGGACGTAGTTAATCGATAAACCAATAATCGGCATTAATCGATATCAATCATCGATGAATATCGATTTCGGATATCGATCGATAGAAATCGATAAATGACTTCAATTAATATCGATGATTTCCGATAAAAATCAAAAAATGATTTGTGGGAATTAGTGTGTTCATGATCAGTCCGTCAGTAATATTTCCTTTTCTCACAGAAATTCATTGGCGACTATCCTGAGCGGCTATTTATTGACGCTGAGGCCGAGGATGCCATTTCCAAATTTCAGAAGAAGCTTCGGGGAATCTCCATTGAGATTAAAGAACGGAACGAAACCCTTGAAGAACCATACCGTTACCCTTACTTGCTGCCTAGTCGAGTGCCTAACAGCATCGCCATCTGAAGATCTTGAAACTTAATCAGACAGTGTGCTTTACGGAGTTCAGTAGATTATTACTAGTCAAATTAATTAGACTTTTGCACAAATTAAGGTTGAATAACATTAAGTGGCTTTATGTTTTGTTTTGTTTTTTTAGGGAAAAACTTACAATGCTTCCCTCACAAAAAACATAGGGTCTTCTGCATCCTCGAAGACCCAGCAGGGCCAGTCAGTAGGGTCAGGAAAAACAATGCTTGAAAACTAATATTTGGCGCCATTTCTTCCGACCCGTCAAACTGCTTCTGGGTCCCTGAGGATTAGTCTTCTTTAAAGAAATTGTTAGTTCGTCCTATGGTTAAAGTTTTAGCCAAAAAACGGTAGCGTGCAACTTAAATGTTAACATACAATAAAAAAGGTATCAAAGTTCTGCGAAACAGACCTGACCTCTGACAGCATGAATTCTACCCCAGTTTTCGGGCCGTTCACGCGCGATCCTAATTCACCCTTGACAAATTTTAAAAACCTAAGTTTTGCGAGGAATAAAACTTAACTTACAATAAATAGTTTAAAGAAGGTTATCACTGCAAAAAGGCGTCTTGGAAATACATTGCCAAGGTGCGGTTTTTCTCCGTTGACTAATGGAACGAGATAGTTCAATGTCCTCCTTGCATACTTATTAGCATTTAGTTATGGGAAGTCACCCCAGACGAGCAAGCTCGATGGGGATGGCACAAAGGTGCTAATAAAGTAAGCAGAAGGGGCCGGTGGGTGGGGGCGACTCCAACTAAAGTTGTTAGTCAAACTGACAACTGTGAATAATTAACACATGCTTATATACTTTGCGCGAAGTCTAATGAATACTAATAAGGTATAAATAGTTAAACAGTATCTCACTTGCACGTGCAATTGAAGAACACGCATCTCGTTAGCGACACAAAGAATTTGTTGGCTAAGTTGTCTTGAGGGGACCCTTTCAAGTGGTACGACTCGTGCGAGTCGTGCTAATCACATCTGCTAGAGAGAGGTTACACGGGATCTCACACAAACGATCCAGTCAGAAATAAATTGAAAAAAAAAACTAGCCCTTCGACATAAAAGAGAAACCTACGAATCTTGCCTTTTGTGACTCACACAATACCGTCACACTAAGTGCCTTACCTAAAGCAAAGTCTCGTGAGAAACTAGCATTGAATATAACAACAACCATTACAGAGCGAAATTTGCAAGAGTCCGCCCCTCATATCGTACAAAGGAGGACAGTCGCTCAAAGACATAGCTGCATGGGAGCCTAACACGCGCCGAGCACGGGGAGTCATGCAGGCCAGTCAACCCCCGGCTTTTACCCCTGTTACACGGTATTGTATGTATTAGTATTTACGCAATCATTTTAACGCGTCGGCGGCCGCACCATGGTTAGGTGCTCGATGCAATTTACTGAAGTGAGGCGCAATGGATTATGGAACGGGGACCACCAACCCACGTGATCCATGTTAACTTTGCCCTAGCACTGCGGGAGAAATTACATTTCTTGTTTCTAAACCGCGTAAGGGTGGCTCCCTGGTTAGCCTAGGCTTATACGGGACTAATGTAGATGGAAACTTTGTGCTTGATCTATTTTTGACCAAAAAGGGCCTTGACGATAACCTCTAAAAACCCAATGCAGATCTCCACTACAATAATCACACACAGAGGGCAGAGTCTCCTTCACACCAGGGAACAAGATGTTTCTAGCAATAGTGTAATATTACAGGTACATCTAATGTTATAGCCAAATGTAAGCCCTTTAGCAAGCAACCGGTGTAGGTTGCCTGAGTCGACCCCAAACTTCCCACCCCAACACCAGCAAATAAGCTGAGAGTGCCCGGAAAGGGTCGATAGCTTCTGTGACGAGAAATGAAACTGAGTCGACGAGTAATAACTGTTCACGAATGCAAACCCGTAAAACCCGAAAGGATGGTTCTCGTAACTGTTTGTTCTCATCTTTGTGGCTGATTAATGAGGGCTTGGGTGAGGGTTACAGCGATCTTAACGCGTCTACTTTGCAACCCCCCCCCCCCCCGTTTTCAAAAGTTGAGTAAGCCAGCTTGAGCTCTTAAATCGCTCGGCGAAGGAAGAGGATATGGCTCACTTTCTATAAAACGATGCGATTTCAACAAAATCTGCAGTCTTTCGCGAAAAAGGGCTTGTCAACTGAACAAAACAAAACGTCCACACAATGCATATCAAAGATTATGACTCTTTCTGAAGCACAGTCAGAACGATTGAAAATCCTAACTCTCGTGTACGATTACGCCACTTAAAGAGACTATATATTAAAGGCTAGAAATTACAAAACCGAGCTCACAAGCTGTCTTATACTGATCGCGACCCGTGTATAGGCGACTTAGTGATCTAGTAACACCTGACGTTCCCTTAAAGTGAAAATCTCCGGGAACAACAGATCGTCGAAAAGCAGATCTGTTTCCCTGGTGGGGATGTTCCGACCGAAACTAGTGGTTCATGACTTCAACCCACCCCTAGTTAACATTGCAGGACCTCGCAGCCGTTTTCCGGTAAATGGGCACATGTATGCAAGGAAAACACGATTGCTGAACGGAATGTTCCGGACCTGAGTTTTGTTTACGATTTGTTAAAATCTTGAACCGACCGGGTAACAAACCTTAGGTCTCTTGAAACTACATCAGGATCCCTTCTAACGTCCAAGGCCACACCCCAGGCAGCAGGAAATATCATAATCATCGAGTTCGGAGCAAGCAATCACATATACTTATAGCAATACAAAACCTAGACATGCGCACTACAAATATTTTCATCGCTTTAATTTTGAATGCTTAATTAAAGTAAAAGAAGGGATATGTCCACCCCGTGGTTCATTCATTGGGAAAGTAGAGGTCATGCAATCCCAGGGTAAAACCAGGCATCAGCTGATAACATATGCCACTTGTAATCTGCAAATAACCCACTCGACAAAAGCCCCCGCAAGGGTTGTAACAGGCTCGCTCTTTCTTCGACGCTAACATGAAACAAACTAAGCCCAATAAAGGAGAACGCCAAAAGCACGGATGGTGTAATGCGGTTGCCAAAGCAGACAGAGAGGTAGATAAAGAATCCAACAACTGATACATACGTGTATGCGCTCGTCTATATGTGCTCATCTTAGCAGGAAAATGTCACCAGACAAGGTTTGAAACCGATGGACGACGCGACCACGAAAAGGAGACAACTCAGCAGACAACGGCCCAGCAGTTCAGCAATTCCAAAACTGCACTGTTAACAGTAAGAACTACTTTGGGCCGCGGTCAGTATAAAACATGGACTGAGGACTGCGGACTGCGGACCACGGACTGCGGACTCGGTATAAAAGACGGGCTAGGTATAAAAAGCGGACTACGGACTACGTTTGTAAACACTGTGCTAAATTGGTTTTAAGTTAGGCAAAATAATATCAAAAGATCGCTTAAATTTATAGGTAAATAAGTCCCTCCCCAGCTAAATACAGCTTTTTTGCTTCGACTGCCCCTATATTGAGCTTCTCGTCTGGGTTTTTCATTTCCTCATTTCTCCAAGACTTTGAAATGGAATTGCGGCATCTATAAGAATGTCACTCTCACTAACAGAAATACTTATTTTTTTATTTGGTGCCTCTCATTTTCATATCTTCTATTGGTTTAAAACTATAAATTGAATTCTCTTTTATTTCAAGTAAAATTTAGAGGTTCATTTCTACAGGGGCAGCCAGGACCCAACGACGGTTTCCTCCTAAATGCGTTGAAAAGTCTTTTTAGGCTGCCCAGGGTACTTTTAGATCTCTAAAAATGTATTCTTAACGGTGCTTCAAAATTTGTATCTCTTCGGTTATCCTAAGGGAACTTGAGGCTTTTCGAAATTACAAGGGCTACAGCGTATTTTTCCCAAAATTTTAAGTTTAAATGCAATTGAACTTTTTACGAAAGTGAGAATTTTTCTTCTTCCTCTCTCCATCACATTTTTGAATCCAAAAATTTTAGGTTTCTTTTTTCTACGAAAATTAGCCTACCATAAGGAGCTAGAATGTGAAAGGTAACTTCAGAAACTCGTAGGGAACTTTTTTAGACTAAGCTTCGAAAATTGTACCTGAATGGAACGCTCATCTGGAAAGTATTAGCCGTATTCAAGCAACAGAAAATCTAGGCAATATTTGCTTCTCCGCTAGATATTCTTTTACAGAAAAAAGTCATCAGGTGCTCCTGATTTTCAGTTGCCTTGAGCAGCGGCATAACCTTCCTTACCCATCCAGGTATGCTTTCCTTCTCACACCGACGTTGGGGAGAATAGACTGCGTGACCAGCCAAAGGAATTATGTTTGTGTATGAGGCAAAGAGCTGAGACTACTGTTTTATGCTAGTCCGCTATCCGTTTCTCCCAGTTTTACCTTTTTAAAGTTGTTTTTGTATGGCACAGTCCGTAGTCCGCGTTTTATACCTGGTCCGTGTTTTATACTCAGTCCGTAGTTTCTAGGCTGCATTTTATACCTAGTCCGTGTTTTATACCCAGTCCGCAGTCTGTGGTCTCAGTCCGCGGTCAATCTCTTATACTGACCGCTTTAGGCCGCAGTCAACAAATCAAGTACCCTGCGTAGCGTGGCGGTTTTGGTTGGACGCGCAAAATAATAAAGGCGGGCGAGGGCGGGGAAACCGTGAGGAGATTGGGGCGGGAGCAACTCGCCGCTCGTTCGCGACAAAACCTCTCTACAAAACCGCCTTACTACGCAGGCAACAAATCAAGCCAGTTCTTCAAACCTATCATGTTTTTGCTTTGGAATCTTTCTCTTACATTAATAGACATTCCAACACTGAGATTCTCCCATTTTGTTATTGACACAATTAATTGGTAATAGGACTTCGTGTCATACAATTCAGGGGTAGTCGAGCTCGTAATTTCAAATCGGCCGAGCGATTCCCGATTACTCCCTGAATTGTATTCCACTCAGTCCTACTACTAATCATAATAGACTGACAAAACTGAAAGAGAACGAAAATCCTGCAAAACGTACATGCAAAATTCTGTATTGTTCAGTAAAAGAGCACATCTCACTATATTGATTATAAGAGAATTTTAACTGCTGGTTGATTGTTTAAATTACGAATATTTTATAAGAAAGTCGCTAAACGGCTCGAATTTCATAAAAGCAATGAGTCAGGCTCAGCCTGACTCATTGCTTTTATAAGGGGACTGCACGCAGTCTGTTCCTTTGTCCCATTCACCTAACCAAACCGGATTCTCCCAAAAAAGAGATGCTTTACGAACTGATCGATGCTGCCTGCAGCAATTCTATACTATCATCAAAAATTCTTTTTCACTTTAGGACTACGAGCTACAGAACTGGATCAAAGATTTACACTACAATGGATATCCGGCCCTGACTACTGAACACGAAGACCATGGTGTCCCAGAGTCCTTTGACGAGCGTCCAGCAGGTGTGCGACTTTCTCACAGCCATTATCTTCACCTGTTCTTGTCAACACGCTGCGGTAAATTTTTCACAGTTGGATATGTACGGCCTCCCGCCACATTCTCCCGCTCTTATGCGCAAGCCACCACCTACAGAGAGGAAACAACATACAGAGTCGGAAGTTATGGAATGCCTGCCTACCAAGGATCAAGCAGAAAAAGCTATTTCAACAGTGTACGATTTGACTCGAATTTTTCCAGACGAGGTGAGCTTTTGTCAGAAAAATTGTAAATTAAAACGAGCATTCCGTATGCAAATACTGGTCGATCTAAAGTATACTCTCATTCAACACAACTTTTTCCACGAAATTCGAACTCCAACGGAAAATAAACATGCCAGGATCGTAGAATAGGATAGCAGCAGATATAGAAACCAATGAAGCTTTCCCAGATAGAGAAACGAATCCCACAGACTTTGACAAACTCGAAGGATATAATCCAAGCAGACCGAGAATATGCTCGCCGAAGCAGCCGGGTCAGATCAACGCGCGGCCAAGAAAATGAGGATTGGGCACCGTACAAAAAATTCCATCCCGGGAGTCCTGAGATGACCTTTCTGGGGACCGATACATCATTTGCCCACAGCCACCCAACTCTGCTGAAAAAATACTTGATAGAAAGCAAATTCTAATCCCATTGCAACGAATGAACTCTTTCCAACGAGTTATTCAGAGCTCCTAAGCGTTTCGCAATTCGTGGGATAACAGTTACGTTTGCAATTACATTTATTTTCATCTACGTTACATTACATCATTACATCTACAGGAATCCCAGCTCTAGTGATTAACGAAATTCTTTACCTTTACAAACCTGAATCCACCGGCTTTTACCATTTGAAATATGACTTTGTAACTGCCAGCTATACTGAAATCAACTAGGCTAGACGCAGGTCCGAGCTCTTTTTTTCCCCCAAAACAAATGTATCGATAGAAAACGGAAAGCACTCTAAATATAAATACTTAACTGAACAACCGGACTTCACTGTGCATTTCTGATACTAACCCTTTGAACTCTTTAACTGAACCTTGCAAATGAGTCAAACTCTGTTGATATGGACAGCGGGTTGAATTTAAAAGAAATGGAAGACAAAGAGAACTGTCCGTAATAATAAGGTGCAGAAGGTGTCCGTATTAAGCGGGTGTGCGTAAAGAAGGGATTGACTGTATTTATTTTTTGTACCGTTAAATTGTACTTTGTAGTTTATTGTTAAAAACATCTTTGTAATGTTATGAGGGTCCCAATGGGGTGGTGGCTTTTACGGTTATCGGCTAAAATTTTGGCCCTCCTTACGGTTATCGGTTAATTTTTTTCAGTTACGGTCAACAAAAAAGTTAAAAATTAATTTCTTTTGTTTCAAAGAGTTAAATATTGTTATTATTCATTCAAAATATTTTCCCGACTCTGATTGGCTAAAAGCACTCGTTTAATTCACGATAACCAGTTACTGATGACCAAATTTGGAAGAGTTTTGTGTTTAACGAGGAAATGACGTCAAAACTGCAGAGTTTTTCGCAGGTTAAGGCACCGTTAACGAGAAGACCTGGGGACGAGGTTGAGTTGTTTTGATTGTGAACTTGAAAAATGGCGGACATTTCACTGATTTCACTCGTTTCAAGAGCAAGAACTAGGCGAAAACATAGCTAAAAACATGACAAGAACAGCAAGAAGGCAACTCGAAGGGCGACATCTGCTAAAATTAAAGAATATATGCGGAGCTGGACAAACCTAAACGTGCACTATCGAAGATGAACTTGACATCGATGGATCGATGGAGGTTAGCATGTTTTAGCCATGTTTTTAAAGTAGGAATTATTTTGAATGAATAATGAAACAATTATTGAATTCGGCTTTCGTATCATATGAAGAATTATGGAGATCTCGAGGGGTATTATCCGCCTAGGCCATAACACCCTCCTCGATCTCCATAATTCTTCATAAGATACTCAGCCTCATTCATTAATTGTTAAATAAATCTGTATTGTTTGTATCTTCAAAGCAAAATCTTAAAAGGTCTTAGGATCATATCGGGATAAAATAAAGCTATTCTTTTGAAAAATTTTAACATTTGATAGATTTTATAAATGTATTCCATTTCTAATATTATTTTACGCAAAGGAATGTCAGTAGTCAATTTAAAAATAATCTTTGTGAAAAAGCAAAAGCGACACCCGAACGCCCAACTCAAGGCAGGGGGGGATATTCATTTACAGGCAGAAACTACCTCATTCACACTACGGACAGATTATTCGTGAGAGATCGGTTATCCGTTTGATAATCCGCGTCAGATAGGTAATACGTCTTAATTTGAATATGGAATGGTTTTCATTTTGAATGAACAATCCGCCTGACTTTATCCGTCAATTTTGACGGACAGTTTGAAGATGGATTATCCGTTTCAGATAGCCTGTGTACAGCCTCCCCTTCCCTCAGAAAAAATCGGAGAACTAAGGGGTGTCTGTGGGGAAGGGTGCGACTGTACACAGGCTAGTCTCAGACGGATAATCCATTTCTAGCTCCAGTTTGAGCTCTAGTTTGAAAACGGCCAATAACGAAATTCCCGTGTCCAGTGTTTTTAATGATAGCAAAGGACTGTACTAACGGCTGTCTGCCGTTGCCTTGTCCATAGGCCTCATTTTTCCGCGCGGCTAATGCGTTTCGGGTCTTATGGTCCGAGCGAGTTTTTTTCTCAGATACGCCAGCGAAATTATTTGACCGAGATTGTGTGGGAAGACGCCGAAGAGGGACTAGGCATGGCAAATGAATGTCTACCGTAGCGTTAGAGAAAAACAGGGAATTGTTGTTTATCGGCAACGTGTTTTACAAACAGTGACATCTCTGGGTATTGTTTCACTAGTAGTTCGAGTGCAGGACCTCCTGAAAATCGCAAATTTTAATCCCCAACAAGAAGCCATGTTTTTGCTATGGAAAAAAATGAGTTCCCCGGGAGAGCGGCGGAAATGGAGTCAAGGTCTAAGTCAAAACTAAAGGGAGCTTGGCTTAACGTGCGAACGGAGTCAAGTAGCTGGGAAATAAATAACGCAACTATCAGCAAATCTAGGGAACAATTTATTTTACGGTTAATTCTTTTTTTACCCTATTTACGGCTAACGGTTAAAAGTTTTCAATTTTTACGGCTATCGACTAAATTTTTTGCCGTTTCACGCCATTGAGACCTTCTGTTATTAGTATGGCAGATAAAAAAATAAATGATAAAAAGCATTTCATTACTAATCAACCCCCCCCCCC